AGTGATGCCAGAAAACAACATTTCTGTTCCTCAAATAACTGTATGATTACTCCAAAAATGTGATAATGGTGTCGAATAGATCGTCAGACTGTTTATTTTACTGTCCTTTTTTCTGTAGAGGAAGTAAAGAAACCGTAACTCTGGATTTATGTATAGTTTGACGTGCAATTTATGACTCGGCAGCTTTAAGACATGAAGACACTATTGTTTCCCGCTTCGCTCTAATGCAGTATTTTGCTCAGTTTTCTTTGTATTGTTTCTGTTCTCATTAAATGTTAAGTGTCTTTGGGCATTCGGGAAAGCGCTTTAAAAATCCCATTTATTATTATTATGGCCAGAAGTGACGTTGGCGCCCTCATACTATATTCCTCTACAAAACCTTCCTAATATTACAGTTAAGGTGATACTTCCTTCTGTTTCCTGCTCTTCAGGGTAGAGGAGGCGGAGGTGGTGTACCCAGACGGAAAGACCTGCAAATACCCAGTACTGTACTTCTTCCATCTTTCAATTTCAATAAATACATCACATAACTTTCTTCTTCTTCTCTCTGCTAAATCTCTGCTGTTGTTTCCTGGTGTGTTCTTCAGGAGTTGGCCTACAGGAAGGAGAAGCTGTCCAGCGACTTCATCAACAGGAAGGTCGGCATCAAGTGAGTCATTTGTACCTGTGTGCAATGTGTCACAAGATTAAAGTAAAATATATGCAAGTAAATCTTTAAGATGCATTTCACTTTTCGCTTTGCATCAACATGCAAACTCACTTTAAGATTCACCAGCACTAAAAACCAATCACAAACCATTCCTTTCTTTTAAAGTTTGTGGAGTTAAATTGTATTTAAGGAGGGAGGAATATTTTTAAACACTTGCAGTATATTATTGCAGTATTACAAAAAAAAACTTTTACATTTTAAAATAAAAAAACAAGAAAATATTTACACGGAATATAAATGTACATTAAACTAAGTACAGTGATTATATAAGAATTATGAAATGTTAAAGTGGAGGGCTGTGCAGAGTGCTCCACATAATAAATAAAACGGATGCATAAATAAAAACAAGTTTGAAGCACTTAAAATTAGAACCATGAAACATCAAATGTTAAAAAATAAATAAATCTAATAAAATACAAATAAATACCAGGGTTAAAATAAAATGTAAGACCAATGACTACATCTTAAAATACAAGGTTTATAACATGACTCTAAACTCAAATCCAGATCAAAAAGATTGGTCTGTAATATCGTTTTGAATATATCATCAAATAGTATTTTTTTTTCTCTGGTTTAAGTATTGAATTGCATTTTGAAACCGTTGGCTCATGCCAGAACACGTTGGTGTTCTTATCTTAAACTTTTCTTACTTTTTTGTAAGAGATATTCTCTCTACAACTGTTCCAAAGTCAGATTCAGCAAACGCTTGATTAAAGTAAAAATGTGCATTCAATTAAACTACAAGTTCTCTAAACCTTTCCTTATGTACAGAACTTGAGCAAATCTACTTCACAACGACACACATTCTACAAACTGTTTGCCACTTACACATTATTTATCTAATATATCATATTCCAATTACTTGTATATAGACTCTCCTTACACTATTTCTATTCAATTTTATTTTTATTTAATTGCACTATTTTATATATTTTATTGTGTTGCACTGTTGGGGGAGCCTGTGACCTAAGATTTTCATTGACATATCTATCTGTAGCTATGTACTAATAATAATAATAATAATAATAATTAATTTTATGTAGAGGCGCCTTTCAAAGCACCCAAGGACACCTTACAATTCATAAAATATTCTAAGAAAGGTTCAAGACGGTACAAGAAATGTCAATCAAAGCCTTGAATCTAGAAACGTCCAGCTGCTTGTCCTCTTTTTATTTTGTATTAACAACGGTCCGTTCTCTCCGGACAGCGAGTCCACGGAGACGATCGCTCGGCTGCTGACGAAGATGTGTCTCCGCTCCGAGGTCACGGGGGTCGGCGACGAGATCGAGGTCGAGATCCCGCCCACGCGCTCAGACGTGATTCACGCCTGTGACATCATGGAGGACGCCGCCATGGCGTACGGCTTCAACAACATCCCCTACACCACGCCACGCACATACACCGTGGCCAATCAGGTGCCTGAGATTTACTTATTTATTTATTTGCATATTTATCAACATTTCTGTAAATGTCCCAGAGTTAATCAAGAGGCTATTTTTCATCTGTAGTCCCTGGACAGATTTTGTAAGTCAGACAGTGGGTTGTAAGGAGCAGAAGATTGTGTCAGTGTTTCAGAGCTGATTCCTCACTAACCAGGTTTTGAATGTGGATTTAAATAAAATAAATGTAGTCTGGTCTCTGATTGTAGATGGGATTCCTCTGCATGTTTAATGGGAAGGTGTGGGCGATTTTTAAATAAAAAAATACTGGATGTATTGCAGCTTTTTTTTTGCCTCATTATTGTTTGTTATCAAACAATAATGTGGCACTCCCGCTGTAGACCCACTTGGGCCCCCTTAGGTGTCATAGACCCCCGAGAATAATCTAAATCAAAGCGTTTCACCCAGCTCATAATATT